CCGGGGGGATGGCCACGCCACAATCCCTTCTCCTCCATTCTCCTCTCAGGATCTTGGGCACGCACGTAACATGGCGCCCGGTGTGAGTTTAAGCTACCGGGTCCAGGACTCGAACCACGGTCGACTACATGGGAGTCCAGCAACGTAGCCATTATGCCATCTGCTGGTCCCTGCAGCTTTATTCTTAATTGCCAAAACTTGGAAGCAAACCAGATGTTCCTCAGTAGGTGAAGGATAAACTGGCACATCCCAGCAGTGGAATGTTACATAGTGTTAAAAAGAAAGGAGTTCTCAAGCCATGAAAAGATATAGAAGAAACGTAAATGCTTATTACGAAGCCAGAGAAGCCAGTTGGAAAAGGATCCATACTGGGTGACTCCAACTATGTAATATTCTGTGAAAGGACAAAACTGTGGAGACAGTCAAAAGTTCACTGGTTGCTGGGGGGGGGTAGGCAGAGGGAGGGATGAAAAGACAGAGGACAGAGCATTAGGGAGGAGTGTCCTGAGTTCTTAGAATTTTATGCTGCCTCAGCATCGCTTTTGAACATAACTTCCTCATTCTAGGCACAGGGCGTAGTCCTTCTTCACACAGTTTCCAGTTCCACACTTACCCAGTTGCTCGTTCACACACGCACACACGCACACACGCAGTTCCTCAATGTGGTCCATCCAGATCACTGCGTCACACAAGCACTGCCTGGTGACCTCTTCCCCATGGGACAGCCAGATACAGCCCATGTCACTGGACCCTCTGAGCCTCGAATTCAATATGGACTGTGCAGCGACCTCACAGCAACCACCTTGCACTCACAGATCACTTCCCGCTTGCTTAAAACTCACTAAGTAAAACTTTCCAAGGAAAATAGGTTTGGAGAATGCCTTGTCACCAGTAAAGGTGCCAGTCAACGAATCCTGCCCCTCCATGCTCCCTGACCTCCATGCGTGCATGTGTGTGTGTGTGCATGTGTGTGTGCATGTGTGTGTGTTTTCCATGTGTGCTTTTTTTTTTTAACAGAGATTTTGATTAGGGCATGTGTGCTTGCCAGAGAGACAGAAAGCAAGAAATCACCCCTCAGAGGGAATGGCCACGCTGCAGTCTCTTCTCCTTCATCTCCTCTCGGGATCTTGGGCATGCACGCACATGCACCCAGTGTGAGTTTTAAGCACCAGGTCCAGGACTCGAACTATGGTCAACTATGTGAGAGTTCCACGACGTAACCATTATGCCATCTGCTGGTCCCAGTAATGAAATCTTTATTTCCTCATCATTGAAGGAGCGATCTCCATCTTAAAGATCCTAAATTAAAGTAGGCAGTGAAACTGTTGTATAATTTCCATAGAGCAAAATGCACAACTTCTAAGTTTGCAGTTTGATCAGTTTTTGCCGATCTGTGTATACTATGTCACCATTTCTTGAAAATTCTCTCATGCTATTTTTCAGCTGTTATAGCTGAATGGTGCCCCCCAACACCACCAAATTTATATATCGAGGAACCCCCTACTTCCTCCATGTTGGGAGACAAGGTCTTTACAGAAGTAATCAAGTTAAAATGAAGTCAGTAAAGTAGGCCCTCTCTGACATGACCGATCTCCCCACAAAACAGGGAAATTTGGAGACATGCAGGAATACAGAGAGAATACCATGGAAGCATGAAAGCAGAAACTAGGACAATGTTTCCACCAGCCACAAAAGGCCAAAGATTGCCAACAAGCCACCGGAAATCGGGGAGAGGCATGGAACAGTCTCTCACAGAAGATGCCAACCCTGTTCAAAAAGTAATTTGGGGGGACCAGCAGTTACCATAATGGCTATGTCACTGGACTTCCATGTAGTCGACTGCAGTTTGAGTCCCGGACCCAGTGGCTTCAACTCACGCTGGGCGCATGTGTGTGCATGCCCAGGATCCTGAGAGGAGAATGGAGGAGAAGGGATTGCGGTGTGGCCATCCCCCCTGGGGAGTGATTTCTCGCCTTCTGTCTCTCTGTCTCTCTCTGTCTTTCTGGCGAGCGCACACGCCCTATAGCAAAAACCTCTCCACACACAAAAAATAAATAAATAAAAATTAACTTTGGAATTGTAGTCTCCAGAAATGTGAGACAATACATTCATTTGCACTGCTCTATGTTCCCTTAGTCTCTTTTTTATTGCTGCGTCATGTTTCATTTTATGCATAGTATGTCACCTGTTGATCTGTTTGTTTTGTTGTTTTTAATGGACATTGGATTATTTTCAGTCAGAAGATAAAACCGTTGTCCCAGTCACAATGGTGCTGAGGGTAGCACACCTCTCTGTAATAGAGAGGTGGAGCCTCTTGCTGGAGCCCCATGGAAGGTCAGGGTTCAGATCCCAGGGGCGGGACTGGTACATGTGAGCCTCTATGATCCTGGCTGACTGTACGTTTGGTGGAGGCAGGGATTTCAGTGTGACGAGGCCTTGTCAAAGGTTCTCCCTCTCTCATAAATGAAACGAAATCAACTTAAAAGACAAAACTTGTTATGAACACTTTCGTGCATGTCTGTTTATTGGCATTCATATTGAGATTGCTTCTGTTGTCTGTTTTTTTCTCTTTTTTTTTTCAGATAGTTTATCCTGTATCATAGCATGCCTGGTGACTTTTTTCTTAATTGTAGAACGTTGTTAGTGAAAACTTACAGAGGCTCTGCGTGATAAGAACTCTATCTAGCAAGGATTTAATTTTCTTCTAAAAGGCAGTGAGAAGGACCAGCAGATGGTATAGTAGTGATGTCACTGGACTCCCACATGGTCAACTGCAGTTCGAGTCCCAGACCAAACAGCTTGGAAAACATGCCATCTCTGTGTGCATGTATGTCCAAGATCCCAGGAAGAGAATGGAGAAGGGATTGTGGTATGGCCACCAGCCCCCCGAGGGGCGGATTTCTCACATCCCCTCTCACTGTCTCTGCCTCTGTCTCTCTCTCTCTCTCTCTGGTGAGCACATGTGCCCTAAGCCAAAAAGTTCTTAAAAAAAAAAAAGGCAGTTAGAAAAGAGAGCTTGAGGTCACTTGAGGCTGAGTTCCAGCCTTCTTGAGGCCAGTTGTACTTTGGTTTGTTCTTAATCTTCAGTGTACCCTATAGGATCTCGATGGAAAGCCTGGAGTATTAGCAAGGCCCTTCTTCCTTGGTTGGAATGAACTCCAACTTGAGTGTCTCCAGGCCCATGAGGCAGCCAGAAGCTCTGTTTAACTTCTTAGCCTTTTAGCTGTGACTTTTGCTTGCTTCCTTAGCCTTTCATTCCGCCGACTTTGAAATAGCAGATGCCTTAGAGGTGGAACAGAATGACGCGCTCACTCTGCGGTCCTCTTTCATCTAAGCTCCTGGCTTCTCACGTCCTGAGCTCTGCTTGGTGTCTCCCCTGTCCCATGAGAGTCTTGAGAGTTCTTAGCTGCCAAGCTGCTCAGAATCTAGGTCTGTGTTCCTTCTGAATTGGCAAATGCCTCGCAGGGCAGAGGGGTAGCATGTCATGCTTAAATTGATGGGTTTTCCTTCTCGCTGAGGTCTTGGCCTTCAAGTCCTGACTACCTTGCTGCTCTCCAATGCCTTCAAACAGGTTTTTTTTAAACCCAGCTTTTATAGTTGGTCCTGGTGGGAAGGTTAGTCTGGTATGACCTTTTCCATGGCTGGAGCTGAAATCTCATCATTAATCATTTATGTCAGTTGCCATTCATTGCATCTGCTCGGAGTGCTGGATACCACACTTGAGCACTGTAAAGCTCTTTTTTCTTCCTGAATCTTCACAACAGTCCTTCAAAATAGGTGTTCATACCATCCCCATTTTATGAGTGGAAACCCTGAGGTGCAGAGAGGTGAAAAGATTTACACAGATGGAGCAAGCCCCATGACTAAGAGAAAGACAGAATTTGAATCCAGTTATGATTGATGTCAAAGCCCAGACCTTTAACTACCAGGCAGTCATTCTCTCTAGTTGAACCTTGAAGTTACAAATTGGCTCTGAGGCTTCCTACCTCCAGGAAGCCTTCCCAGAGCACTCAAAGAGCCTCTCCCATCTCTGCCTGTCCTCGCAACAACTGTTTATGTGCAGGTCTTCCTGAGGGCCCAAGGACAGGGCTGGCATACCAAGTGTGAGGCTGAGTGTACGCTGCTCGAGCGCAGGCCTCTCCCACACATCCGGCACACCTCGGGCATGCTGGAGCTGAGACACGGTGGAGAAGATGGTCCCGAGGGAGGGAGCCTGTAGTTAAGGCTTGGTTCACGCCAGAGGCAGGTACAGTACACACCTCTGGGGGTGTTGGTTTCCTGGGGAGCCCCCGTGGTGGGATCACACTGACTGGGGCAGGCAGGGATGTCCCAACGTGGCTAGCGTTCTTTGTTCCCTCTTTAGTTACAAAGCAAGCAGCTGTAGTTTCAGGGAGGACCTAAACACTCAGAATAGAGGAAGCAGGCTATCTGAGCGGCTGTCCGGGGCCACGCTCTAAGAGGTGTGAAAGCAATGGATTTGGGGGGCAGTGAGGCAGATCAGGGAGGCACCTGCTAGGGTGGCCTGGCCTATGCTGCTCTCCTGTATATCCTCCAAGGGGCCCCAGGAGAGCCAGGATTTGATGGGAGAAAGAGAAAGGGTTATACTGATGACTTGTCCTTGAGCCTTAAGTTTGACATTGCCCCTGTTGGGCTCTTAACTGCCTGAGGCTCTTAATTGGCATAAGGTGGGCACATCTTTTGTCCCCTTGGCAGGGCAGCCAGAGCGCACAGTGCCAGCAAGCATCCATATGACCTCTGACAGACGTTCTGCAGACCAGGAGAGCCAGGAGGGATGGGCTTACAGGAGAGGCCACCTGTCTGACAGGCCAGCTGTACCCCTCTTGTACCATGAGACAGCTTTCCTCTGCAAGGGAAGCTGTCTCTTTTGAAGGGGTCCCAGCCTAGAGTTTCTCAACCTCTCAACACTGTGGTTGCACTTCTGCAATTTAAAAAAAAAAAAATCACACTTCAATTTTCTTTCTTAAAAGGAAAAAGGAAGAAAACAACACAACTGGGAACATATCACGTTCGTGAACCACAGCTATAAGAGCCTTCCCCAGCCCTGCCCAGCCTGGGCCCACTCCCTCCTGAGAGCTCACAGCCGCAGGCCCAGAAGCAGATGTGCCTCCAGCAACAAGGTGAGTGGACGTCAGAGGGTCTGGAACCCTCAGGGAGGGGAGAAGGCCTGGTGTCTTCCTCCTGCCTCATCCCAGGGGAGGGGTTAGTAAGGTTGAGTTGCTGTTTCCCCATAACAGCTGGGTTCTAAGAGGAGAGGCAGCTTCTTCCAGGGCTCCTCTCTGGTGGGTGATTTCTGTCAGCTCTCGACTGTTCAGTGGAGCAAATTTTAAGGTCACACAGAGGAGAAGGGAGTCCTCCATCTAAGTGAGTTTGTCAGGGTCCCTAGACCATGGGATTGGTTTCGTAGAGTAAACTCTGAGTTTCTGACCAGGTTTGAGGGTACAGATGCCCAGCCCAGCTGCCCAGAGACTTACTGTAGGCTGGGCCAGCGGGGCTGGGGGGATGTGGGCAAAGGCACGTGTGTCTCTGTGCATTAGGGGCAGCAGGCGTCTTGAGGGCCCAGACTGCCCTATTAGGCTAGAAGATCCCCACCATTTACCTACTTCATCCAAAAGGAAGGAAGGAAGGACCCAGACTCTGGCACAGCCAGTAGCCCTATCGAACTGCAGACCTGGAAGCCACATGCCGGCCATAGTTTGAGTCCCTAGCCCCGGTGACTTGAAAACATGCCCAGTACATAAGGGTGCCCAGGATCCTGGTAAGGTATCAGACTGGAGGAAGGGGAATGTGGCATGACTGAGCCCTGTGGAGGATCTCTCTCTCTCCCCCTTTCTCACATGCACACACATTCTATCATGAGTTGTTTTTTTTGTTGTTGTTGTTGTTTGTTTGTTTTTTTAAATAAAGGCCAGCAGGTGCTATGGTGGTTAAGGCACTGGGCTCCCACATGGCAGATTGCAGTTTGAGTCCTGGACCCAGGGCTTGAAAAACATGCCACATGTGCATACGTATCTGAAATCATGAGAGGAGAATGAAGAATAAGAGATTGCAGTGTGGCCGTCCCCCGGGGTGGGGGGATTTCTCACTCTCCCCCTCTCTGCCTCCCTCCTATGGCAAGAACCTTAAAAATGAAAAAAAAAAAAAAACGGCACAAGGCAGAGTTGGGACTTGCAAGGCCGTTGATTCTGTACCCCTGCAGTAGGTGCCCTCCCCTAGACTTTCAGGAGCAGACTCCCAACTGCAGTTTAGCTAGACTTGACTGCACCATGGGCATGGGATTCTCCTCTTCATCTAGCCACTCGGCAGACGTACCCCCAGACACTGTGACTGGGCACTAAATCCCCTGGGCGGTGGGATGCAGGGCACTACTTCGGCTCAGACCACGCCGTCCCCTCGGGAGGCCTCAGGGAAACAGGAGAGAGGAGCACAGGGAGGACAGGACAAAGGCCACAAAACTCTGGTGTGTGATGCAAGGTTGGCCAGGTGCCCAAGGGACACTCTCCATACTGCGGGGGTCAGAAGGTCACCATCCCCAAGGAAGGAGCTCCGTTGTGAAGGTAACCTTTGAACTGGGCCTTGAAAGATGAGCGGATTCAGACACAGGGTTTAAGGAAGATGCATTCTTAGCAGAGACTATAATGTGAGTGAAGTCTTGGTGCCAGGGAAGTGTGAGTGGTTATTCCAGTCCACTCAGCCCTTGGTTCCCCTGAAGGTGGTGGCAGGTCCCAGGTGACGTGGGGATGGTGGATGTAGCGGAGAGCTATGCTCCTCAAGTCCCTGCAGGAACAAAGCTGACCACTGCAAGTGGCCTTCCGGCACATGCCAATTACATGATAAGGTACAAATTCCTGGAGATGGAGTACAGGACACTTCTAGTACTGTGGCAGATAAGGCCAGTGGCCCTGCATGGAGCCCTGGGGCCCCTTTCAGCTCTCCAGTGAGAAATCTCTTCAGACCCTTCCTCTCGTCAGGATCTGTTCTCTGCCCGATGGTGTGGCTAGGAAGCTCGCCCCATTCACACAAGTAAGTCACTCAGCCTGCCTTGGGACGCACCTGGGATGTGCCGGCACTTTTTATTCTTCCTGAGCCTCCTGGTGCCCAGGACCAGGCTGAGCCTCCCTCCTCTGTGTGCCCCATACCCTCTGATGCTTGAAGCCCCTGTGCCCTGCACTGGCTGGGTGTCCCCGGGGAGGGCTTGGCTTCCTGTTACATCAGCTTCTCCCTAGACAGTGGCTTGGTGTCCAGCCCAAAGGAGGGCTCCACAAGAGCTTGCTGTGTGACTGTCAGGCGCAGGGACTTTCTGCCCCGCCCTTCCCATGAAGCAAGTCCAAATTGCCCTCAAGTGACCAATAGACGACCAAGGCCCCTCCCTACAAGCCAGCACACCTTGTCCCTTGCATAGACGAGGACGGACATAAATATTACTACAGTTTAGAGACAGCGGGCGGCATGTCCTACTCACAGAGCACAAGAGAGACGAAGCTGGCACTAGAGCAGGTGGGCCTGACCTTCTGCACCAAGCCAGCCTTGGCTCCTTACAGGTTTGGACAGAAAAACTACCCACAGGCACTTGGCCCTGTTTGGCTAGATGTGGCCCTGGCCCAGGGTCCCTGAGATGGACAAGTGGGTCTGGGCCCAGAGAGTTATGGAGATGTGTCTGGCTGCAGCTGACCCTGAGTGTCTGTGTTTCGTCCTCAGGCTCTTGTCAATGGAGAGGCCCTTCACGGTCCTGCAGGTGAGCCTGCACCACCCCAGGCTGGATCCAGCCACCTTTGCCAACATCCAGCCTCAGCTGCAGCACGACACCAGCCCACTGCTGGTTGGGCGGGGACGGGACGCCCACCTGCAGCTGCAGCTCCCCCACCTCTCCCGCCAGCACCTGTCCCTGGAGCCCTACCTGGAGACCGGTCGCACTCTACTGGCCTTCTGCCTCAAGGCCCTGAGCCGCAAGGGCTGTGTGTGGGTCAACGGGCAGACGCTGAGGTACCTGGAGCAGGTCCCTCTGAGCACCATCAACAGGATCTCCTTCTCGGGCGTCCAGATGGTGGTCCACATCAAGGGAGGCACCTCCCTCGAGGCCTTTGTCTGCTGCTTCCATCTCAGCCCCTCACCCCTGATTTACAGGCTGGAGGCCGAGGAGACTGACGAATGGGAAGGCATCCCCCAGGAGCAACCTCCCCCAGCGTCAGGGGAGCAGCCTGCAGGCCACCTGGGGTTTCTCCACGACTCCTCCCAGACTCAGACTTGGAACAGCTCTCTCCAGCCCAGCCCTGGAGGAGGAACAGAAATACAGCTCCAGGGGGAGCCCCCAGACAGGGCACTCTGCTAGCCTCGCTGCAAGAGCAAGCCTTGCTGAAATGGGACTTGAAATATCCCAGCTACATCAGGCAGGTCGACATGCAGGGCTGACGTGCAGACCTGCTGGCCGCCGGCTCCTAATGACCCGATTCCGCACACACCCAACGGCCTGGGGGTGCAGAAACACTGCATGGCTAGAGCTAGAAGGTAATGGGAACTTCATATACTTTTAGAGGCCCTGAGGGGTCCTGGGGAGACTTGCAGCATTTCCCCACATTCCCCTCTTGTCTGACTAGGAGTTACTTTATGTGGCTCATTTTGTGTGCTGCTTAAGGGCGGGAGTTTGAGGTTACTCCAGGAATGCACGGACACATGTAACAATTACGTTGGTGGTAGCTCAGGGTTCCTTCAGCCTTCCAATACCCACAGGCACTGGGGGCTTAGGGAAGCCTGTGTTTAATAAACTACAAGTATTTCATTAAGCTGGCATACCCAGTAGGATTCCCTGGCCCCCAGGTGGGCCATGTGCATGCCCGTTGTCATGCAGAGGTGGGGGCGGGAAACACAGAAGAGGTGTAAGAGGAAATTGGGAAGGTGGGGGCCATGTTTCTGTAAAGGAGTAAGCAGAGCTCAGGGTTTCCTGAAGGTGGAAGCTGGGAGCTGGGCCTGCTGGCCTACTTGTTGTCACCATCAGTTCCCCCATTTTCTGTCACTCTGGATCAAAGCCTTTCCCCTGACCAAAAGGCAAAGTCTTCAGGGAGAGGTGGTTTCCCAAGCAATGGGCTCTTCAGGGCTCCTTCTGTCAGGGGTGGGTGGAAGGCTTGGTGGCAGTTATTTCGCTCAGGGCGGGTCATGTACCTTTCTAAATGGTGGACTGGTCAGGAGCTAGGCAGGCCGAGGGAGGGAAAACTAGCTCAGTGAACAGGGGAGCAGAGTGCAGGCAGCCCTCGCCTGCCATCCTGACAGGGCAAGAGTGTTTAGAAACAAGGTTTGCCTGTGTCATGGAGGGAGGGACCTGCCACGCAGATGGTCTCCAGGATCCCAAACTCCCCTTCAGGAGATCCGAGGCACCGAGGGCACGGCTGGCTGGCTCATGTCCACAGAGTCTGTAACCATTTCTAACACTTTCCATTTCCCACCCGAGAAGAAAGACCCTTTTGCACCCAGGACGGGCTACCGGGAGGTTCCACAGCACTCACAGGCTCCGAGTGGCTTGTCCAAGAGGGAGGACAGTGGTGGGCAAGACCTGCGCTCGCCCCTGCTTGGGAAGCTTCCCTATCAATGGGAAAGGACAAGGACACTCAGATCACAGCCACGGGCAGAAGATAGCAGGGCTGCTAGCAATGGGGCTGTCCAGTGCAAGGAATGGCCCCCGCAGGTCCCCATCGTAGTCCTTCACTCATTCATTCAACACGTTTTCACCAAGCACCCAGTTCGTGCCAGCTGTGTGCAAAGCCTCAGGAGCAGCAGTGAGCGTGAAGGACAAAATATCTGTGCTCAGGAAGACTGCACTGGGCTCAGGAAAGACACGCATTTGAGAGCTAATCACTTAATCATCTGATCACCACTGGGATTGACACCACAATCATTGTATTTCTCTCCCTCCAGCTGAGCATCACGGAGTTCTCTTACAAAGTGGCCTTGTCAGTTGGTGCCCGCTAGCACCAGGCGATCTGCTCTGGTGTTCCCTAGCGCCTGGCGCTCTGCTCCAGTGCCCGCCAGCGCCCAGTGCTGTGCTCTGGTGCCCGCTAGTGCCTGGCGCTCTGCTCTGGTGCCTGCTAGTGCCCGGCGCTCTGCTCTGGTCTTCACTAGTGCTCAGCACTCTGCCGTGCGCTCTGTTCTACCCCACTGACTCCTCGGAACACGCCTGATAGACCATGTTATTCACCACGTTTCACACACAAGGAAACTGAGGCTCAGGAAGGTCGTGGATCTTGCCCAACATCGCATCATCACTAGTTGTGTGACATTGGGCAAGAGGCCTAACCCGCTTTTTCCTTTACTGCTTCATTGGGGAAAAAATGGGTCAAGATAATGGTCCCTCGGTGCTGGAGCTGTTATGAGGGCCCAAGGAGGCAGCCCAGGGAGCACTTAGTGTGGAGTCTGACACTCGCTGGGCAGGGGCTCGCTGCTCTCTTGAGACCTGAGAAGGGACGGTCATTGGTCCAGACCCAAGGGCTCACCAGGCACGTGGAGCTGGGAAGATGCAAGCCCCAGTGGGCTGGCCCTAGAGCCCAGGGGCTTACCACACTGTGTGATTCCTAAGCATCGTCTTCACTGTGGAACTGGGAGGCAGCCAGGAGGGACTTTCAATGTGTCCTTGCACTGGGAGGCCATGGCCAGGGCTCACAGAACAGGAGATGGAATTCCGGGCCTGTGCAGAAGAAACCAGGTGCAGCTAGGTCTGATGACATCCGCGTACTGGAACTGCCTTTTCCAGGGTCTAGAGGCAGTAATGATCCCTCACAGTCCAGAGCATTCCCTAAAGTGTGCATCCCAGAGCAGCAGCCCACAGAGAGACCTCGAGAAGCCACGGCCTGACGACTGGCCCTGAACACCAAAGGCTGAAGAGAGACAGCTGCCTGGGGGAACGCCAGCATCCCCAGAGCGCAACTCCTTGTCTCCACCAGAGAAGCTTTGACGCAAGCTGCCCCCACTGAGTTCTCCCTGGGGCCTCGGTGAGAGTTCTCTCTTCTCCAGAAGGAGAAAGCCCATCCTACCGGGCTCTGTGAGGTGGAGCAGTCCACTGCCTTCTCAGGGGACTCTGTGAATTGGGGTTTTGGGGTGAAGTGTCTGGAAGGCCTTCTGGGACCCAGGATGAACTGCAGGGCAGGCTGAAAGATGACAGGCCAGACATGGGACTGGAGGGGGCCAGGAAACATCTGGCTTGTTGTTTCAGACTTTACCAGTTCACAAAATCTCCCTGGAAAACTCACACCTTGCCTTGTACCAAGTTTTCAAGACAGTAAATCTCTGCCCATCCTCGACTCCATTTTTCTTGAGTAGAAAACCATTTACATCATCAGCTCCTCGCACCTACTCCCTCACTCCCCTAACAGTTGAGATTTTCGGGGCTGCTCTCTTTTGCCTGCAGACAGCCTGAACAGCGGGAGAGGCCCCCTCAGCAAACTCCCCTGGGTTCTCTCGGCTCTCGCAGGCAGGACAGCCCACGTGACGAGGGGACACGCATGCATGTGTGCACACACACGCTGCTCACACATGCACACGAGCACTGAGGTCAGGCTGCTGCCCGGGTTAGAAGTCTTGCTTCCCCACCCACCAGTTCTGTGATCTTGGACAAGGGACTGGATCTCCTTGTGCCTCAGTTTCTTCTAGAAAATGGAAAAGATAGCATTGCTCCTAGCTCCTCAGAGTCATCATGGGGAGAAGAGGAGACACCGCCATAATCCCTATCCGTGTCCAGTTCAGTGGGATGGATTGAACGCATATTCCACAAGCACACACACACGCACCTGCTAACAGAGCCACATCAATGACACGCAGACACACCCCAGAGCTTTATAATTCCCTGAGGGGTCTGGAAATTTAGAAATCATCCCCGTGCCCTTTAAGGGACTGTAACCCTCGCATTTCTCTGCTTTCCCAAGGATGTGAATCTTCCCAACCCATCTGTCCTTGAGACACACACCCCGCAAGCCCACATGTTGAGGGAGACATGTGACTGCCCCGTGAAGAGCCTCGTGCAAGGCTCTGAGGCAGGAGGAAGGGGTGGCAGGTACAGGAGACAGTGTAGTCCTGGTCACCACCTGGAGAAAGGATGGCCCTGACTGAGCACGTGACCCATGTCTGTCTCCGTGGGGAGGCCACGAGCTCCATGCAGACGAAGGTTGTTGGGTGCTGTGTTTGGGAACGCAGTCACAGACTGTCACAGGCCTGGGTGGAGGATGGATGGACAGACAGGTGGGCAGAGGTGACTGAAGCTGAACCAGGCTTCCCAGGCCAGGCAGGGGCAGGGCCAAGGGCTGTAGTGGTAGAAGCCAGTTGGCCAGCTAGGTGGGGAAGTTAGGAAGCTACCGGCCAACAGTGAGTGCAGGTGAGCAGCTCTGCCTCCTCTGGGCCACGCGGGGGAGCAGCCCAGACCCTCTGGCTGGGGCGGAACAAGGCTGGTGTTTCCTCTTGGCTCTTGACCCTCGGTTAGCCCAAACTCAAGCAGAACCCCGAGTGCTGGGGTTCTGGGTGGTGACTGCTGAGAAAGTGTGACTAATTCATCAGGGCTCCATGTCACCGAGAGACAGCACTGAGCCAGCACACATAGGGGAGAGGAACCTCCGGGAGCCCCTCGGAGAGGTTGGCTGTGTGGAGTCCAGGCTTGTTGCCCAAAGTCTTCACAGGGTCTCCTCCCCGCCCCTGAGCCCTGGGCAGTGAGATCAGCCCAGGCAGATCCTGCCACAAATACATGCGGGCGACACCCACCCCACTCCGCCAACACCCCAGCCACCCAGACCAGAGCTGCCTGTTAGATACCCCGCGCAGACACAGGCAGCTAGACTATCACTCAGTGGAGTCATCTGCATCTTCAGAGGAAGGACTGGGGAGGACAGTGCTTAACCTGAAGGAGTGAGCCTCACAGGAGGGGGCGTTCGGGTTTCCCAGCAGGCCGGAAGAAATACCCCCTCTCTCCAATGGAAGGTCACTTTGTGAATGTGCAAAGCAAGACTTAGTCGAGGGGCTGCTTCCAGGCCCCCAGGCATCTAAGTGGTGCTGAGACAGGAGCTAAGACTTGACTCTCCATAACTACCCACCAGGCAGTGCAGAAGCTGCGGTCAGCAAAGATTCCCAGAAGGGAGTCGGTCCTGTGCCCTGTGGAGAGTTCGTCATCACCTCCACCTCCCCCTGCGACCGACTGCAAGCCTGGACACCTGCTGTCACTCTGTCGCTGTCTGAGCCACTTCTCAAGCTCTGCTGTGTCTTTGGCTTCCACCCACCACAGCAGGTGGTGGCTGGTGTTTCCAGGGATCCATGAGGTCGGCTGGTCCTTTCTGGCTCCTGTGCTGTGGCAGGTCTACCTGACTCCAGCCACTCATGGCCACACTCGAAACCCATCCAAGACTCGGGGGGAGGTGTAAACAAACCCCACTCCTCACCTTTAGAGGAGATGCCGAATTTAATGAGCTCTGTTCACGTTGCAGCGTTGCGATTCCTCTTACCTTTAACGTGAACTCGCAGGCGGATTAAAGTGAAATAAAACCTCCCATTTGAGTTACATTCTCAGCTGATTGGAAACATGCATTACCTCCCCATGACCGGGCTGTGAGAAGGGAAGTTATTATCTTTCTTTAGAGTTTGTAAACTCTTTATGGCTGAGGCAGCTTTAATCCTGCTGGGGAAAAAAATGATCCGGGAATAAATTGCTCCCATTTACCTTTGTTTTCCAATCACACGCTCCAGTGGGAACAAAACGTCCTAAGTGAGGGGATGTGGGGAGCCAGGTGATCCTTGACAGAAGAGTTTAATTATTTTCTTCTTTAGGCACGTGAGTTGAAAGTGCTTTAAAGCACCATTGGTGAGGGGGCTTGTTCCACAGAAATGTGCCCTCCAGCGGGAATGCCGGTAACCCGGGGTTGGTGTGGTTCCGATGCCTTTTCTTCCAGGGGGAAATGGCCTCCATTCTCCCACTGAGCCCGCTTCTTTGCAGCAAAGTGCCCAGCTCCAGACATTTGGGAATGACCAGGAAGGAGTCCAAGAAAGGGCAGATTTGAATCAAAATTAAATCAGTCCAGGAAAGAGAGACTCAGGCAGGCCAGGGCCCGGGAGGAGACACCATGCTTTCTTTCCTTCCTGTTAGTCCTTGGGTCCTCTCTGTGTGTCCTCTAGTGGCACAGTGTGTACATGTTGCAGGTCCCCAGCAAAGCCATCGGGTCGGGCCAGGCCGGGCTCTGAGCCATGCACCCTAACTGCTGGAAGGAGGCCTGACTAAGATGTTTTTCCTTGCATGATCCTGAGGCTGGACGTTAGGTTGGGAGTCTCCAGAATGAAGCAGGGGCAGGGACCTTCGGAAACAGCTCAGCCAGGCCACCAGACGTGGGCCTTCCATGACGGCTGCTCTGCAGGGTTGGGCTAGCATGACGTCATGCTTCCAGAGCTTGCTGCAGATGGGTTAGGAAAATAGACCCTGCGAAGCCACCTTGTTTATGGGCTGTGTCATTCAGGATCTTGTCAGGAAAATGAAAGCCACTATAAAGATTCCAAAATTTTAATTCTGGGAATTGGGCACACAAGGATGGGCTCACTGAAAAGACAAATGTGTAATTCAGAGACGAACATGAGCAGGAATCTGTGACCACTGCTGGCTACCGCCATAAGGGCAGGAGGGGTGACCAGAGAGTGGGCTCTGTTCTGCACATGGTAGAACTACCGTGAAGGCCCCTGTGGAGGCTGGGCCCTCAAAGGGGGAGGCTGGCCCTGGGGACCTGGAACCTCAGCGGAGAGCAAGCTACTGCCAACAGCTGACTTGGGCGGCTCCACCAAGAGGGAGAAATATTCCAGCTTCTCTCCTTTCCCTGCCTCCAGTCTCCTACCAGCTCCCACTGGCTGGAGCCAGCCATGAGCAAGCGGAGGGAGCCTGAGAAAGGCAGCCTGCAGGCGTGGTTGTCCCTGCAGTACGGAGCAGAGGAGGGGAAGGGAGAGCTGGAGATCCGGGGATTGTCAATGACCCTCAGCCTTGCCTGGGGCCCTAAGGTGACCACCGCACAGGGAGAGGACAGAGAGGGGGGCCACAGTGCTGAGGACCCCACCGCTAGGGACTCCTAAAGGCAACAGACAAACATCACTTTAACCTCTGCGACCTTTGGCATCTGTAAGAAAGGAGCGGGGAGGGAAAAACGTCAAGCACTGTACAGCAAAGGCTCAGGGAAGAGCCATCCCCACTGGGATGCTCCACTTTGAGCACACACTGCCCTGAGCAGCTGAGGCAGCACAGAGCCCCGTGTCCTCAGGAGACCAGCAGGTCAAATCCCCACTGCCCCACAGTGACTGACCCTGGGAGTTTCTTTCATCTCCAAGCCATGCTTTTTGTTTTTCATCATTTTATTTATTTACTTATTTATTTTCTTCTGTGAGCAAGACACACACACAGAGCTTCAGAGAGACAGAACCCCCAACGGTGTCGATGCCATGACCCACTGCCGCCCTCCTCAGCCAGCACCGGATCTTAGGCATTGGTGTTCCCAGCACAGATCCAGGGAGGTTCCGTGAGGCTCCGTGAACCCAGAGCCTTCCAGGTGGATCAGAGCCATCCAGGCTCCCAAGCTACCTCTTCCTCATCTACAAAGTGGAGACACTGTTAGGAGCTATCTCACCTCTGCGAAGACTGGGAACACAGCAGACAAAGGACTTTGCACAGGCCCCTTACACACGCTCAGTGCAGCAGAGCTGTGTGTGTGGCAGAGGCTGCCTCGGACATCTCAGTAAGCAGTCAGCAACACGCAGTGGGTCCTCAGGCAAGGGCCATTGACTGGGGGCCAGCAGGCAGTGTGGTGGTTAAGGCACTGGACTCCCACATGGCTGACCACAGTTCAAGTCCTGGACCTGGTGCCTTGTTTTCTCTCTTGTGAACGCGCATGCCCTATAGTAAAATTTTAAAATAATAATAAATAAAATTAAATAAATAATTATATTTGAAAAGGGAGGGGGCACCAAGTGGTGTGGTGGCTAAGGTGCTGGACTCCCATGTGGTTGACGGTGGTTTGAATTCTGGGACCAACGGTTTGAAACTCAAGGCCAGGCGTGTGCGTGTGAGTGCCCAAGATCCCGAGAGGAGAATGGAGGAGAAGGGATTGCAGTGTGGCCATCCCTCCTGGAGGGGGTGATACCTCACTTTCTGCCTCTCTCTCTCTCTCTGTCTCTCTAGCAAGTACACATGCCCTATAGCAAAGATATCTCAAAAATAAATAAATAATATAAAATAGATCTATTGACTGACTAGCAAGGGAGTGAGTGAGAGGAGGAATTGGGGGCGGGAGGAGTGTTGAAAGCAAACCACTAGGAAGTGAGGCTTTGAGAAGAAACAGGCAAATCACAGCAGAGCTGCAAATGGGAATGCTAAGGTGCACTTTAAGCAGCCAGGTGTGCTGGCAGAGAAGAGGAAAAAAACCCTGTGAACGGAGCAAGCATATCCTTTGGACACTGAGCCCGGGAGGCAATGGCAAATCCCAGCAGGCCCATGCAGGGGCCCACACCTTGACTCTTCTCTGTCAGCAGAGTTTCCTCATTCCCCATGGCTCCCGTCTCAGTACAGCACACCACCCAGCCCTTCCCTGCCCAGAAACACAGGCATGAGGTCCAGAGCTCCCGGACTTGGACATCGGCCCCGGGAGTATTAGAAGCAGCCAGCTTGGATGCTTGATGTCAGGGCTCCCAGAATCAGCACTGGGCCTCATTACTGAGGAACACACGGTCCCCTGTGATACTTGCTGGAGGCTCCGGAGGGAAGCTAATAACCAGAGGCTCTGCCTTTCAGTTTTACGTTCCTCTTCCCCAGGCCTGCAGGCTCTGTGGTTGCTGTGCAGATTCCAAATCGAAACATCAGAAAGCCTCAAGTGGTCTGACTTCTCGTTCCCGGTCCATCTCTCAACACATGCACGCGTGCATGCATGCACACACACACACACACACACACACAAACACACGTTCTTATGCCTGCGTCTGGCCTCTGTCAAATAACCCAGGTAAAGTGTTGGGTACCACAGGGTAATTATGAGCTGAGTTTTGCTCCTTGGTTAAAAAAAAAAAAAAACATAATACTTCCACTTGGGATTCTCAGCATGCTTTACAAACCAGAGTGAATGTCATGGCTCAGTTCAGGGGAAAATAGAAGCAGAGGAGAAACCCCACTAGAGGAGTGATGGGGTATATTCCAGAATGTTCTGGATAAAGAAATGTCATAGGTCCTGACCACAAGTTCCTGGGAATACTAGAACAGCCAAGTCTGATGCAGAAATCACTGGGCCAAGAAGACATTCAATATGACTGTGAGGCTCAGAGAAAGCCACCCAAAACTCACACACCTACTTGGTGGATCTCTACACTCCCAGTGTGGTGGTGAATGTTTAACCGTCAGCTTTCTGGGTAGTGGGAGAACCCTGATTGTCGTGTTTGCCAATTTTCATGGTGTAAATTCTTTTGCTGTGGTCAATTTCAGATATCAAGGTGACATCACTGAGTATGGTTGAAAAAATGCACAGGGGGCCAGCAGGTGGCATGGAAGTTAAAGTGACTAGATCCCATTATGGTCAGTTCTAGTCCCAGACACGGCAGCTTGAAAGTCACACCAGGATGGGACCAGCAGATGGTGTAGTGGTTACATTGCCAGACTCCCACATGGATAATAGCAGTTCAAGTCCCAGACCTGGTGCCTTGAAAGTCACCCTGGGCACATGTGCGTGCATGCCCAAGATCCTGGGAGGAGAATGGAGGAGAAGGGATTCTTTTTGAATTTGTCGTGTCCACCCCTCCTCCCCTGAGGGTGATTTCTCACTTTCTCTCTTTGTCTGTCTCTCTCCAGTGAATGCATGCACTTATAGGCAAAAAGAAAAACTTTAAAAAAAAAAAAAAAGGAAATGGGGAGAGAAAAAAAAAAAAAGACACACAGCAAACACCTATACATAGCACTGCCACCACTCAGAGGCAATGAATGCAAATAACCTCAGGTGCATAGGTACAGTGAAGTATGGCAAAATATTGAGAAAACAGTGACTTTTGATTACTCATTAACTTTGTTATAATTTATTTACCTGTATGTCAATATAGTTTAACTGTTAATACTGTAGCAGCAGTTAAATTGAAAAGTGATACTTTCACCAAACAATTATGTGTAATTTAATCATTTAACAGTTAGCTCCTTAACACAGTGTGAGACGGCCCAGCCCACCACTGTCAGGGAAAGCTTCCAGTGCCAGCTGGAAGGGAAAATAAACCATGAGAAAGTGTCTCGGAGGTGAGGGGGGTACCTACACAGAAGCTCTGGAGAGGTCAGAGTGAGCATTTCAGGAAATTTGTACAATAGTTTGCCATTTAAAAGTGAATTTGGGCCAGCAGGTGGCATAAAGGTGAAGGCTGGATCCCACATGCCTGATAACACAGTTCAAGTCCTGGGTCCAGCGGCTTACTAAATAGCCAGGTGTATGTGTTTGCATGCCCAAAATCCTGAGAGGAGAATGAAGAAGGGATTGTGGCATGGCCACCTTCAGAGGCCATCTCCCACCCCCTCTCTCTGGCTAGTGCACATTTTCTATAGTAAACTAAAATATATATATATATATA